TGGTGCTGAAAAATCCAAACTCAGCTACAGGGGCAGCTTCGTTCAAATTATGGAAACTAAGCGATAGGTTTGCAGAACACAGTTTTTGCTAACAACAGATTGGGTGTTGCATCTGACTTGCTGTATCTCCAATGCCTTTTGTCTGGAGAGACTGATGTACTGTGGAAATAATAAACTGGTGAAACGAATGAGAGATAGGAAATGAAAGCAGACAGGCGTTCAAAAGCATGGTTTGCCTGTTGTTCATTTGGAAGCTCAAACTATTGTGCAACAAAGGTCTGAACGGAGCCATTGTGATACAGAGATTTGAGATGTGAAGATGAAACTAGATAAAACCTGAAGGGCATAATTGCAGATCATGAGTCTAACAGCATCTGAGCAAATTAGGTATGTTGGCCCTCTTCATTTCAGCATCTTTCCTCCTCATTTTTTAAAAGCAATTTATAGTTATGGAGGGATGGAGAGTCTTGACGCATACAGATTTTTATATTACTATTTTTAGGATTTGCTATCCTTTTCCACAATAACCTGGAATTTATTTCCAAGTAATTGTCTTTAGCATTAGAGCAGCACAACCCCATTATATTCTGGTAGTTGTGGTGGATGTGTATACGGAGAAGCAATTGTAAATCATATCCCCCTGGAAATCTGTACTGCTCCCACCCTTTAAATTTTTTGCAGATTGTTAAAGACCTGGTGGTTCTCCCAGACCTTGGGTTAGGATGAAGGTTGATCTTCTTTCATTTCTGATTCTGTCTTCAGATTGTCTGTATTCTTTTTCTTTGATATATGTTGTTTTCTTTTTAATTTTTAAATTGTATGATGAGAGTCACTGTGGAGTCAGGCAGCCTTGAAACATCATTATCATCATCATCATCATCATCATCATCATCAGAACAACAATAACAATAACAACAATAAGCAGCAGCAGCGCCTTAGGTGCAATTCCACAACATCTGGAGCACCACTTGAAGACCATCAGCACTGAAAAAATCACCATCAGTCAATTGCAAAAGGCAGCTTTACTTGGAACAGCTTCCATCCTGCAACGATACCTTTAACACTATCAAAACATCAAACAACATCTGCCTATCCCAGATCCTTGGGAAGGACTCGATAGGTGGACCAAAATGTGAAATCCAGTCTAAACATCTGGCTGACTGTGCGACCAACCATAATCCACTACTTACCTTCTTGACTTTGATGTGCTTGATGTTGTCAGCTTGAGGGATGCCCAGGTATTTGTAG